CCTGCTCTACACCAGTGGCTTGTTTGAAAACACGGACTTGAATCCGACTTGATTCTGGATATCTCTGGTCTGTTTAGGTCATCAAAATCCAAGTTCCTTTTCACAATGATAGCCAGTCGAAAACATTCACTTCGTTTGGCCCAGGTTGATGGCCGAAGGCCAGTAAAAAAAGCAAAATCAACACAGATTGTAATTTTTGTGTTAAAAGTCCCAGACTGAGATTTCAAAAATAAGGTAACTACTCCGTTGCCCTGTTAAACTAGTGATCAGAGAAGAGACCCGAAGAATAGAAACATTGAAAAAAATCATTCGAAACAATTATCAAGCGTTATAGAAAACTTGCTATTGCTGGTTGAAACTGTACTGCCATTAAATGTTATTTATTCACTCAAATAAATCACAGGCCTTTTTTCTCGTAATTAGTCGGCTTGCAAAATTGTCGTGAAAAAAAAACATATAATATTTCTAAAAAAAAACTTTACAAATTTTTTGAAAAATTCATTGTTAGGTTTTGTCAGGTTTACTGTTTGTCCTTAAGTCAAAATTCATTCGAGTATTGAAGATTTGGGAAAATGTTTCGTATTGGAGATTTGAGAAAAAAGCTAAGCCTCTACTCTCAGTCGAAAGGTCGTTGGATTGAGGTCGTTGGATCCACCATGGTTGTTGCTTGAGGGTAAAGCAACGTTACTCAGTCCAGATGACTGCTCTATAAGAGTCGAACAACTGTTGGTCCTTTACCACGTGGACAAAAGCTCTTTAGAAATTGTCGCAGAGGCAAGAAACACAGGCCTGCAATTCTAAGCTGTTCAGACTTTGTTCTTTTTTTAATCAGCAATCTTAGGCTCAAAACTTTTACGGTTTGCTTCACATATTGTGTTCATACAAGCGTAGCGAAGTGGTGTATGTTCTTGATCAGCTATTTTTTTATGAAACTTTTGAAGCAGAATTTGCTGATGCAGAATTTATGTATTTTATGTACATTGGACCGTATACAAGAATTTTATTGCCTGTCGACTTAAAAATTTTGAGCAAAAAGTCGGTTTTAGTTGCTCTTGGCACGTAATTCGCAAATTCTAAGTCCCGAGTTCTGAATAGCTTTTTTCGGTTTCTCCGCTTGCGCATGCAAAGTGCAACTTTTCCATTATGTTATCACGTTTTTTTTCTTTTATTAAATTGATTGTCTTTCATAATGTCTTATATATGTACACTTTTGTTCCATTAGTTGTTCCGGCTTTCAAAAAAACTGACGGAATAATTGTGCCCGATGTGTTTTTTTTTCACCAGACAAATTTCGAATATTTAATTGGCTTTTTTTGACGAAATTGTTTCATATCAAACGAAAATTTTTGCTGTGTTGAGTTCAAAATTAAACAGATGATTTACCTGTCGTCTTTTTTTGTAAAGTTTTGGGTTCAAAAACCGCCTATTTGGTAAACTTGGGACAATTAACACGCGATCTAATTTTTTCTATTTAAGCGGAGATTTCATTTATCTTAGAAATCGTTATAAATTGAACTGAGGCTTGCAATTTGGTCAATTTAATATTTTACTATAAGCTTAAGGAATCGTTCTGTGTTAAACATAGCGCGTGGGGTGATTTTAAGAAAAAAATTTATCTTCGTAAAAATTTGAAATTTTTTGAAAAGCGAACAATACCCAATAAATCTCAAAAGGTAGTCAAAATGTGCAAGTCTTTGCCCAGATACGAGCAGTCTTGTTTAATTGAGGCATGCTATTTGGCCTACCTTAAAACTTTTTTTATGCAAAATACATCACTTTGTACTTTGTACTCAGAGCGTGTGGGGAGGATTTTCAAAAAACTTCCAAAAAATTTGTCTCAAAATTTTTCTCTTTTTGAAAGTTCTCTCCTTTATTACCGCGAGCCTAACTACATAGACGTTAAGAGTCAGTTAGAACAGTAAAGCTCCGCTCTGATATCTGATACGAGCAGTCTTGTTTCAGTAGCAAAATAGAAAAATGTTTTTTTTTCTAAAACTTTATCTGAAAATTGTTCTTTTCGGCTCCAACGCTGTTTTTTGCAGCATCTACTACCCAAATAAATAAAACTGGAAAAACCGCGTGCATTTATCATCTAAAAAATGCAGTTTTTAAAGTTCACACCTTTTTTTAGCTTAACAACGGAACACAAAATTTCTGAATACAATTTCCCTACAAAATTATTGTTGCCTTAGCAAATTAAAACCACTATTTTCAAAAAGTAATTCTATGAATTAACGCCATTGTAATCTAAAATGAAAGCAGATCTCTCTTCAAAGAGGACTTTGGTAAACATCAACGAATAAAGCGATGATAGTTTTTGTCATTTAAAGCCAGACAATTTAGCGCTACTTATTTTCAAACGTAAGTAACTTTGCCAATCATTCGAACCAGACATGTTTGATCGAATTCCATGAACCCTCAAAAATTTAAACGTTTTTGTCAAAACTCCGTAATTTTCTAGATAATTTCAGCCGGTAACTAAATTTAAAATTTTTCATCAATGTCAAAAGGCTAAAAACACTTATCTTTTAGAATCAGTTCGAACGTAAACTTATAATCTGGTCGCTTTCTTCAACTTTCGATACATAAATGCAATTTTAACCGGTTTGTCAGCCCTTAGACCCAACCGAATATCCTCAAAACATAGACGATTGTCCTGTAATTAAATTTTTAGTGCATGAGTCAAGGTCTTTTTAGTTACTTTTTCCGAGGGTCTGCAAAGCAACGTCTTTTTAAAGAAAACTGAACATAATTTAAGTAAGGTCAAATTTGGCGTTTAAAACTAAATGGTTTGAACAAAAATCAGACACAAAATGCACTGGCTTAACATGAACTTGCTAAGACTCAGGGAAAATTCAAATCAGTTTTGTCTTCGTAAGCGGAAATAATAATTGGGACTCTTTCACTTATAAAGCGGTACTTTTTCTTCTTCGTAAAGTTACAACTACTTGATGCATCAAGTTAAGTTTTTTGTTCAGAGGTGCCTTTTTTCAGTCTGCCCACTACTTACCACATATTAGGGTGGTAATCGTTGATTTAATATAGAATGATAAAATGCCGTTTTTCGATAGTAGTTTTTGCCCAAATAATCCTACTAACGGTCTCATCTCGCTGGTTCCAAAAAGGTGGCAGAAAGACTTCACAGTTTGGCAGAGTGCTAGAGTGCTTCTTATATAGGTAGAGCAGAAGACACATTTTCTATTTTTTAGGCAATTTTTTTCAAGTTACTGGGTTGTTGATAATTTCGGTCGCAATCATTTCGGTTTTTGTGAGCAATTATAACATAGGACTTGCCAACCTTCTCTTTTTTCAAATACAAGGGAAGGCAGCGGTTTTATGGCCAACGCTAAATCGTGATGTGTTTCGTGAACCCCTCTATGACCCCTTCCCTTGATTTTTTTTCATCTAACTCTGTTACAGATGAAAAAACAACCCAATAAATGTGCTCCGGGGAATTATCGGGGGCAGACTGATGAACAGTTTGTTGAAAATCTCTCGCAAGTTATTCAGGGCGGCAGTTTTTTGGTTTTGCTGGGAAGGAAGGCGTGTATGAGCAAACTGAGCGCTGAATGAATTGTTACTGGCAAAACTGCACTGGCTTGGCTACTGCGACAATCGGTGTAATCTTTTTTTTTTGCTGAGTTCTTTCAATTTCTTGATGACGTTTCATCGGCCATCTGATTCTCCTGCTGAAAAGTCATGATTATGCTCTTCATGCGTCTCGATCAATTTTTTAATTTCTGTAATGGCGAATGCAAAACGAGGTTTGGGTTATGTGTTTTCTTGCTCGAAACGAAAATTATGGCCCGAGGCAATGAAAATTTGCTTGTTTTTGAATGAAACTGTGAATTGAAAAGAAGTCTCAATCCTTAGTTGTTTTTGCTAGTGGCCATCGTTTATAGCTTGATTACTGCATAAAATGATTGTCAGAATTTTAAATTTGTCAGAAACAGTAAGTCAAATTAATTTTCACTAGCACAAGCAAGTTTTTTGTTAATCATAATGGTTTAGTGAAACATATTTGAACCTATTTGAAAAAAAAACAAGATTTAGTTCATAAGAAACTTGAGTAATTTATGGGTCCTCATTTTATGATGTATGGCTGAGATAAACCAAGTTTTTCAAGGTGATGTCTGCGCTAATTGCGCGGCTAATTATGATGTGATAGGAGCTAAAATAAGGAGTTCATACAGCATCTTTTTCGGTGATATGTAAGGAATAGGAGTTAAATTGTTTTGGATTCAAGTGGTTTAGGAGTGAAATGCACGGTTTTAAATTGGCTGCTATTAAACTGTAGAGCACCGTTTTCAAGCCCCTTAACATCACAAAAAATAATCACAGTTATTTTTTTTTATTTTGGAGCTCAAGGTATTGGTTTCTTTTCGATGGTATAGAAATTGTTGTTTTTTGTTTGAAAATTAATTTAAGCCCGAAAAAAAACAATTACCCCAAAAAAAAAGATGCTCTTTGCTTTCTTCGAGAGTTAGAACTGTAATCGTTTTAAATAATAGTTGAGAATAAAAGACTGAAAAAAAAACATTTTTTTCGGCTGATGTTGCTTAGTGTGCGAAATAAAAACGTTTTATGACGAGTTGGCTTTTTCAGAGGGTTGATTAATGGGTTTTCAGGAGTAGCTTGATATCCGTTAATTAGAGAAGCAGCCTCATTTGAATTTGAAAACATGCAGCTTAAATGGACAAAAAATTTCACATTGAAAATTATTTTCCCTTACGTGCAGTTGTTTAAGGACCTAAGAACAGTCAAAACGTGCGTTTTACTGACACCAAATAAAGCAGCCTGAAGAAATGAAAAATATTCTAACGCTTCCAAAATTGACCAAAAATCTATTTCAACTTCGTTTTATTTTCTCCAAAGTAAGCTGGTATTTTTAAAGCACTTGTATTTTTTAACGTTTAGAAACCAACAGCGGTTCAGCGCTGTTAATATACATTTTTAAGATTGATACGCTCATGTTTCTTTTAAAACGGATTATGTTTCAGCAAATTGGCTTTCATGTTAAAAAAATGAGACTCATTCTATTTGTTACCTCAATTTCCTCATCTTCATATTCGTTTGATTTGCCTATGAAAATACTCCAAAATTTTCCCAATTTTAATTATGATTTGAACGTCAAAGCGTAATTTGAATTTTCATATTTTCATCAATAATGAAGAAAATACTTTGTTTCCCTATTCATTTGGAATTGTCCATAATTCTTTATTTCGATTGAATAAATGCGTTTTGAAGTTCCGTTTTGAACGTGACGCAGGAAAAAAACGTGTTTTTCCAGCCATTCCTCCATTTATGTAGTGTTATTAGTCGCATTTATTTAATGCTATTAAACGCGCAAAGGGTAGAATAGAAAATTGAATTTGAGACTACGTTTCTTTCTGAATTACCTTCAAATTTAGGTCGCTTATATATAATATACCACACGTTTTAACACGTTTTACAATGTCGACAAAACCACTAGAAAAAAGACATAAAAACGCTTATCTATTTTGAAAATCACATTTATCACAACATTACACAGACACCAGCATATACGCATTATAGTTTGAGGTGAACGCCAGTTTATTCATTACCAAGCTTTACTTGCATATATTAATGGTATTGATTAAAATTGGTACAATAAATCCCATTTAGCTAGCTTTATTGTACCAAAAATAGTTTTCAACTTTCTTCATCGTGCGAGTAAAACGTCTTATTTGCTTCTTGATCTTATTATTCGCCGATTAAAAATACAGCTTCTATAAATTACTTGATGATTACAACAACATCTAGGCGCTTGTCTCAATTTTGCAATCAAATTGACAAATATTTATTAGTTGCTCATTAATAACTTCTTAATTATTATTACAATAAATTTACGCTACAATCATTTTATGGAGGATAGCAATCAGTTTAGCAGTCATAACTCAGCAGTTAGTTATGTACCGTCAGGGGGCAATACATCAGCGATGTTGGGGTCCATGAATGGGTCCATTACAGACGAGCCAGCAGGAGGAAGTGGGGCAACTATGACCCCTCTGATGAAAACACTGAAACTAGCTGTTGGGGCTCTGATGATGATGGCTATTGTCTGCATAATGATCAACAGCGGTGAGAATTTGGAATTTCAGGGTTTGATGTTCAGGGGGCAGATTTCCAATTTTCTCGAGGGGGGAAGGTTTTGGAAAAAATGTTGAAACATTTTTTATGCCAACAAAAGCGATTTTTCGAGGTCTCCAAGTATAATGCCAATTAAAATCTTATTAGATAAATGTTTATGTTTTACAACTTGATATAATTCATAGTAAACAAAGTTTGAATCTTCGATTAGTTTGAGTCATTATAGCAAAAGATCCACATTCAAAACTTTTTGAGATTTGGTTCTGGATTCCGATTCACAATTGAAAGGGTTTGAACGTTATACAAAATTTTAAAGTCTTCGAAATTTCTTCTAAAGGCTTGTACTCGCACAAAAAACACCCTACGCATGCCATAGTTGGAACAAAATTTTTGTAGCGCTGAGAAAAAATGGTTCGAACTTTTTTTGGAACAAATTGTGTCAAAAATTATAATTAAGCCTTTTCAGTCGTGATTCGAACATCATATACTTACAATGCTAAGAACAAAATTTTGTAGTGCTGAGAAAAATCGGTACAAAAATTTTATTTTTAGTCTAATTTCAAACAAATAAAGAGAGCCAGCATAGGCTTACAATCGGAAGATAATTTTTTTAAGCCGCGAAAACTCATTTTTACTCCAACAAAATACTGAGCGTTTTCTTGTGTGGGAATAAAAAGTTTGAAAAATATTTTTTAAAACTTTCAATTTTTTGTTGTTTTTCCTTTAATTTGTCCTAGTAAACGCTGTCAATTATGCCTAATGTACTACGAGTATCGATAATTCCGAAGTGTTAGGCTTTCGTTCAGATCCTGTTATCACACTGCGGACAGAAAACGACAGAATTTGAAAAAATGAAACAGTTTTTTTTTCATGTTTTTCATTGTTGTGGCATAAGTTTGCTGTGCTGCTTTCACAGCAACCGGCTATTCCTGTTTTCATTCATTTTTTCTACTTTTTCCACATATGGGAAATAATCATATGCATTCAACGAAATTCAACGAAATTATTCAACGAAATTATCAAACTTCCAAAAAATTTTCTGTGTTAAGAAAAACCATTTCGAAGCTTTATTGTTTTTTTTCTAATTTTGAGCAAGTAAAGCGAGCGAGTAGGTGTTAAAAAGAAAAAAATAACCTTTAATTTTATCCGATAAAAAATTGAATTCAAGAAGACTTGTTTTCGTGTTTTTTTTTTAATTTTGTTTTGTTCATTTTTTGACGACAAGCGTAGTCAATTTTGCTTTATTCATGACAAAATTTTTGGCCTTGTTCCTCTCATCACGCTACGCACAATAGAACCACCCAAATTTGCAAAAAAAAAGTGTTTTTTTTTCTATCTGGTTAGAACATTACGTGTTATTTGCTCAGCAACAGGCTAGTTTTGTTTATTCAATGTATTTGGCGATTTCTAATCATCACACTATTTTTAGCTGCGAACAATAGAAAAAGATGAATTGGATTGCAAACATGATAAGACCTCTAAATTTCATCATGGGGAAACCCTTAAAATTTCTTGATCAATTTCTTAATCAGTTCATTATTCATTTTTTTTTCTGGGCCAGGAACTATTCTACAATTTATTCCTGTTGTGATGTTTTGCTAAGTAGGAATCAGTTTGCAGAGGAGTGATTTGTGGAATGTGTTGCGGCGACCGTTCGGACCACTCATTGGGTTCTTTTGTCAGTTCCTCCTCTTGCCCCTCGTCACTCTTGGAATCTGTCGTGCAATAGGTAAAAACCGTAGCCACATCTGAAAACATTTGAGGATAGCGTTGGTGAAGTGGCGAAGATCTGCGCCTGTCACACGATAGGTCGGTGATTCGAAGCCCACCAGGATTCGCGCTTGTTACTTGAGATTGAGGCAACCCAGTAACTTAACAAAAAAAATTGCGTGCAATCCTTAAGTAGGGGAAATAACAGCTGTTCTCTGTAGATCTGAAGAGCTCATAGTTCGGACCACTTGGATAAATAGTCTGAAATTCACTTGTGTTATCCCCTCCTAAATCGAAAAACAAAATGCTCAAAAACTTAATTAAATGAAATAGGTTTGAAACACTTTTTGTTCCGACTTTCGATACGAAAGTAACGGAATATTTGTGCTCGGGGTGGGTTTTTTTTCTTCAGACAAATTTCGACTTTTTAACTAGCCATTTTAACGGATTTTTTTTTATCATTCGAAAGGTATTGTTGTCATGAGCTCAAATTTGAAAAGATATTTCACCTGTGATCATTTTTTGTAAAGTTATGGGGGTTTAAAGATTGCCATTTTGGCCAATTTGGGACTATTAACGCGCGATATATTTCGCGCTAATAACGCGTAAGCGGAGAGTTAATCCGTCTTAGAAATCGTTCCAAATGGGTTGAAAGAAGCGTATTTGCCATAATTGATTTGTTACAAGGATCGAAATCTATATTTTTGTACTTTATATGGCGTGTGTGGGGATGACTTTCATTAAAAATTTCAAATTTTAGAGAAAAAAAAGATTTTCATTTTTTTTACATTTATTTTTTTGATGATATTACTGCTCCATAAACCTTTAAAGGAAGTCGAAACATTCGGGGCTTCGCCCTGATACGAGCAGTCTTGTTGTTCCGACTTTCGATAGGAAAGTAACGGAATATTTGTGCTCGGGGTGGGTTTTTTTTCTTCAGACAAATTTCGATTTTTTAACTAGCCATTTTTGACAGAATTTTTTAATACCATTCGAAAGGTAATGTTATCTTGAGCTTAAATTTGAAACGATATTTCACCTGTGATCTTTTTTTGTAAAGTTATGAGGGTTTAAAGATTGCCATTTTCGCCAATTTGGGACAATTAACGCGCGATATATTTCGCGCTATTAACGCGTAAGCGGAGAGTTAATCCGTCTTAGAAATCGTTCCAAATTGGTTGAAAGAAGCGTATTTGCCATAATTGATTTGTTACAAGGAGCGAAATCTATATTTTTGTACTTTATATGGCGTGTGTGGGGATGACTTTCATTAAAAATTTCAAATTTTAGAAAAAAAATTATTTTCATTTTGTTTTTTTTTACATTTATTTTTGTTGATGATATTACTGCTCCATAAACCTTTAAAGGAAGTCGAAACATTCAGGGCTTCGCCCTGATACGAGCAGTCTTGTTGTTCCGACTTTCGATAGGAAAGTAACGGAATATTTGTGCTCGGGGCTGGTTTTTTTTTCTTCAGACAAATTTCGACTTTCTAACTAGCCATTTTTGACAGAATTTTTATATCATTCGAAAGGTATGTTGTCTTGAGCTTAAATTTGAAACGATATTTTACCTGTGATCTTTTTTCGTAAAGTTATGAGGGTCTAAAAATTGCCATTTTCGCCAATTTGGGACAATTAACGCGCGATATATTTCGCGCTATTAACGCGTAAGCGGAGAGTTAATCCGTCTTAGAAATCGTTCCAAATTGGTTGAAAGAAGCTTATTTGCCAAAATTGATTTGTTACAAGGAGCGAAATTTATCCCTTTGTACTTAATATGGCGTGTGGGGGGATGATTTACATTTGAAAATTCAAATTTTAGAAAAAAAATTTCATTTTGTTTTATTTCATTTAATTTTTTAAATGTTATTACTGCTCCATAAACATTAAAAAGCGGTCGGAACATTCAGGGCTTCGCCCTGATACGAGCAGTCTTGTTCAATTTAATGTTTTCATGGCTGGCCAAATATGTTGAGATACGATGGTATTTTGGGGTTGAGAAAAAAATTGTTTTTAACTTTGCAAATTGAACGGTATGCGATTGGCACTCCCGATTAGCTTGTTCGTATTCGGGGGAAGCCCAAAATCTTTCGACCAACTCTTAGGGTCTATGGAGCACTACTTACTGAAAAAAAAGAATGAATTTATAAAAAGTAACGGAACAAAATTTTTGAATGATTTTGTAAAAATCATCCCGACGCCATATTCAGCACAACGATATAGATTTAACTCCCAGTAACGTAGCATTTATGACAAATAGCTTGCTTAAAACCCAAATATCCTAACGAAAAATGACCTCAAGTATTTTTCTTTGAGCTCAGAACAACGATACATTTGGGGGGATATCGAAAAAATCCTTCAAAAATGCTAGCTAAAAATCGAACTTTGTCTGGAGAAAAAAACCACCCGAGCAGGTTTCAGTCAAACCAAAATTCATTTCGCAAAATTTCTGCCACTTGACCTCCCAGGCCTCACAAATAATTAAATATTGCCTCGCTATTGCGTTACCAGTTTTTCCTCGTCTTGTCAATGCAAAATCCAGCATTTTTCTTGTTTCATTGTTTTAGTAAACTCGTTGACTTTTTTACCGATTGAAGACTTTATTTAAAAAGCATGCTTGTAAAATGGAGCAGTACATATTGTAAAATTAAAAAAATACAAAATTGCGACTCAGATAAAAAAAAACTGATATGGTTATCAAGACAAGCTTGTTCATTAGGACAATCGTCAAAATCAGTAGCGGATTTGTGGGACGTGGGGTTCTGAGGGGAGACAAATTCTTAGGGCGCCTTGGGCGCCATATACACTAATTTTGATGAGGAAGCGTGCACCTTTAAAAAGCTATTTTTTTTGTGAAAATTGTCCTGTTTTCAAAAAAAAGTTGCCTGAGGCGCGGAAAACTTAGTTGCCTGAGGCGCGGAAAAAAACTGCCTGAGGCGCGGTCAAATTATTTTTTTGAAAATCCAATCACCTCCCCCCCTCCCGGCCTCGTGAAAGTCCTGGATGCGCCCCTGATCAAAGGATGCGCCCCGGCCATGTACCTATTTCTCCTGGATGCGCCCCGGCCATGTACCTATTTCTACCACTTGTTTGTGACAAAAAATTGATTCTGACGTTTATTGAGATTGTGAATAATCGAATAAAAGCAGTCTAAGAACAAACGATATCTGTCAAAATTTTTGGTAATTTTAACTACAAAACGAGGCTCTTCTAAGCACTTACATAAATTATTTATCTAAAAAACTTCGCCGAATATATGGCGTGTGTGGGGATGACTTTCATTAAAAATTTCAAATTTTAGAGAAAAAAAAGATTTTCATTTTTTTTTACATTTATTTTTTTGATGATATTACTGCTCCATAAACCTTTAAAGGAAGTCGAAACATTCAGGGCTTCGCCCTGATACGAGCAGTCTTGTTGTTCCGACTTTCGATAGGAAAGTAACGGAATATTTGTGCTCGCGGTGGTTTTTTTTTTCTTCAGACAAATTTCGACTTTTTAACTAGCCATTTTTGACAGACTTTTTTAATATCATTCGAAAGGTAATGTTGTCTTGAGCTTAAATTTGAAACGATATTTCACCTGTGATCTTTTTTCGTAAAGTTATGAGGGTTTAAAGATTACCATTTTCGCCAATTTGGGACAATTAACGCGCGATATATTTCGCGCTATTAACGCGTAAGCGGAGAGTTAATCCGTCTTAGAAATCGTTCCAAATTGGCTGAAAGAAGCGTATTTGCCATAATTGATTTGTTACAAGGAGCGAAATCTATATTTTTGTACTTTATATGGCGTGTGTGGGGATGACTTTCATTAAAAATTTCAAATTTTAGAAAAAAAATTATTTTCAATTTGTTTTTTTTTTTACATTTATTTTTTTGATGATATTACTGCTCCATAAACCTTTGAAGGAAGTCGAAACATTCAGGGCTTCGCCCTGATACGAGCAGTCTTGTTGTTCCGACTTTCGATAGGAAAGTAACGGAATATTTGTGCTCGGGGTGGGTTTTTTTTTCTTCAGACAAATTTCGACTTTCTAACTAGCCAGTTTTGACAGAATTTTTATATCATTCGAAAGGTATTGTTGTCTTGAGCTTAAATTTGAAACGATATTTTACCTGTGATCTTTTTTCGTAAAGTTATGAGGGTTTAAAAATTGCCATTTTCGCCAATTTGGGACAATTAACGCGCGATATATTTCGCGCTATTAACGCGTAAGCGGAGAGTTAATCCGTCTTAGAAATCGTTCCAAATTGGTTGAAAGAAGCTTATTTGCCAAAATTGATTTGTTACAAGGAGCGAAATTTATCCCTTTGTACTTAATATGGCGTGTGGGGGGATGATTTACATTTGAAAATTCAAATTTTAGAAAAAAAATTTCATTTTGTTTTATTTCATTTAATTTTTTAAATGTTATTACTGCTCCATAAACATTAAAAAGCGGTCGGAACATTCAGGGCTTCGCCCTGATACGAGCAGTTTTGTTCAATTTAATGTTTTCATGGCTGGCCAAATATGTTGAGATACGACTTTAAAAGAGTTGTAATTATAACATATGGCATAAAACTTCCAGGAAACTTATACAAACATCCCTTGCTAGGAAACTTTTGAGAATTTTCTAAAAGTTGATTTGCCCGAACCAATTTAAACGGCGCATCATTACTGAGCATGTTGTTTTTTTTTAAAATTAATGTTCAGACTTTCGAAGAAAGTGGCGAAACATAACTTGCTCTTTTTGATTTTTTTGGGAGTATTTAGGGGGTTGGGCGCTCCGCACTCAGAGATTTGACCGTCTGACCTTCTAAGAGGTCGCCACCTTGCTACTATTTTAAATCCACTTTTAGTTGATCAACCCTAAATTTATTAAAGGCGCCAATGCATTTTAATTTTGAGATTGACGGAACGCGCTCCAAGAAACCGCAATTTTTTAATCGAAACCCTCCAAAAATGCTTTAAGACTTCCATTGCGGCCTAATATATTTTTTTAAAAACTAGCTGCGGCTCAGAAAACGTTCGTAAATTAGGTAATAATAGTGTTTTGAAAAAGTTAAGGATCCTCCGTCTTTTCAGTCCATTCAAAACGTTCTGTGAGCGTTAATTACAGTTCTGATATACAACGACTGAGTATGTTTATTTGTTAGATCCGTAATATGGTGGCGGTGTTTTTGAACCAATCAGGGATTCTTCAAGGGCTTTTATTTATAAAAAAACTTTAAAAGAGTTCTAGCGAAGAAGAACCGAAGGTTCCTGATAGTAACCCAGTCAAAAGTTACGTCATTTGTATTCTAACAAAATACAGACAAAATACCCACAAGCGAAAGTACCAACATGCGAGCCTGCAGTTCTTCACAAAATACCACTGTTGTCCCCTGGTTAAGAACTGAGTTCAATTTTTTTGAATAGTTTTCTGGTCTTGCTTCGCTCTCAACAACCAGCACGGATCATGGTGGGCCTCGAACATCGGAGCTTTCGATTGAGAGACGGAAATGTAACCACTCTACCACCGCTACCTTACACTGTCATTGTTCTAGGTCTGTCGCAAAATGTGCTGATGTCTGCCCTGATCAACAGCTGCTGTCCAGGAGGGGTGATGTCCAACTTCCTCACCCACCTCACCCGGGGGGACGTGGCCCTCAGCGTGACCATGTCCTTCCTGTCCACCGTGTGCGCCTTCTTCACCATGCCACTCTCCCTCTGGGCCTTCTCTGGATTCTTCGTAGATGGAGCATCTGTGGACCCTCCTTACGTCCAGATAGCAGGCTCACTCGGTAAGGCCAAAAATAATTGAAGTCTGTAGAAAGTAGGTATTCATCATTTTTAAATCTGTAGTAGAATAGTTTTAAAATGAAAATTAAGGAAAATGCTTTTTCAGCAGGGGTGGATCTAAGATTTTCTCGAGGGAGGATTTTTTGAAAATTTGAATTTTTTTTTCAATTTTTAGGGTTTATCAAATTGATTTTCTTAGCCTTCCCAAATCACTGTAAATATCTCACGTTGACCAAATTTGACGTACCCCCTAAATCCACCCCTGTCATTCAATGAGTTTTTCTTATAACAAGCCAGGTTTAAATTGCAGACCCGAAAATTTGCGAGCCAGTTTAGAGCCAGTAAAATTTTGAAAGCTATGAAAAATAAGCAACCAAAGTTAAGGTCTTTTCTCCTTCAACAAAAATACCGTTTTTTAAAATGCATCAGTGATCTTTCTCCTTAGAGTATATAGTCTTTTTACTCATTATTCAACCAGTAAGGCCTCCAAATTTGCTTAAAAAAATCTAAATTCATTTCTAAGAGTTTAATTTCAACTCTGATTTCTTTTATCTCAAACTAAATGTCAAAGTCCACGTTCGAAATAGTTTTTAATCATATGTATTCTAACTGCGTTAAGTTAAAATTAATTGATGACTGCACTTTCGATAGGGGAAAACTCCGGGACGTTTTCATGCCAATTTCTCGGAATTCTTTTGTCTTAAATTTTTTCGTCTGCGTCTTAAGTTTGCGATAAGAAATTTTGTCTGTTCAATTGCAGCAAATAATTTCAGCTTATGAACAACTTGATGGGGGGAATCGGCGACCAAATTCTTGAATTTAACTTATCAAAATGCTTCAAATCCCCGGTGAGGTTGTATAAGGTATCATTAAATGTTCGATTTTTAAGCCGTTTACTATCCCGTTAAAAATTAATCAACATTTGAGACGCCAAACAGCAATGCCATTTTAAGCAATATAAACTTTAAAATAAAACTTTTGTTTATTGTCTACGCGGTCAATAGTTATTGCTCAAAACTAACCGCAAAAACGACTTGCAAAAAAAACAGCGCCAATAAAAAGAAGGAAAAACGGGAAAAGCATTTCTTGAAAAAAATTTGCCTTTTTTGGTAAAAATTTTTTAGCTTCAGCAGTTAGTGTAGTCTTGATAAGTTAGTTTATTGCTGAGCTTCGGCTGCATTATTGGCGCTTTTTATTATTATGGCTAATTCGACCTTTGCACACGCAATGAATGATTTATGTTATTTAAGATACTTTTAGAAAATAGAGCTCACTTTGCTGGGAACATTTTATAGCCCGACTTCTATTTTACCTGGCAATTTTTAAATACGTCTTTTGCATGAAAAAAAGTTTGGATTCCTGAAGACATCACTCAAATTAATTGAAGGTCACGTAAAGAAACAAACTGATTCTTAACTCTACATTTTTAATTCATTTTCTGCTTTTATTCAGTAAAAACAAACTGATTCGTAATTCTAAATTTTTAATTCATTTTCTGCTTTTATTCAGTAAAAACAAACTGATTCGTAATTCTAAATTTTTAATTAATTTTCTGCTTCTATTGAGTAAAAAGCAGCTGCAGGGAAAAGTCACGTTGACCGCCAGAGCGAACAAGATAGACTGAAACAAGCAACAGATCAAAAACAGTTCGAAAAATAGCAGACAACAATTTCGTGGCTTCGATAACAAGTTTCATCAATGCTGATATTCAGGGTGTTTTAATTGAAATTGAAAAATGCAATGGAAACAAACTGCAAAAGAAAAACATAAAAATCTTTTTGGTTTTCAAACTTTTGCCCCATTTTTGGGATCAACCGTACAATCTCTCCCCCTAAGTGACCTACCGTAAAATGCCCTCCCCAAGCTTGTATTATTTCTGCCAGATCTGTATAAAATATGCATTTCACACAAACGCGCAAATAAAATTGGTTTTTACATTGTTTACGCGAGATTGCGTTTTAATTGTATGCTGTTAATTATGCAAAATTGATGTTTTAATTCATATCTCTTTAGTAATAAGGTTAATTTTGAGGTTAATACTCAAAGTTATAGCTTATGGAAAATCCATATCCCCCAATATCAATTTTTTGGGAGGGGGGATTGTACGGTTGATCCCATTTTTGCCATTTTTCTCCAAAATAGTTCGACGACCAATATTAACCTTTTGTGGATCCCCCGTAATGATCAATTGAGTTATCTACCCGCAAACAAAAAGATAAACGCTACAAAAGACAATCAAACACAAGCAGATTGTTGACGTGTTTATAGCACTCAATCAATTCACAAATTGAAGTTTTTTATATGAGTGTCGAGAACCTTGTATCTGAATACCTAAAATTTTTCTCCGCAGCTCCTTTATAATTTACGCAATATATTTTTTTTATTTAAGACAGAAAAAAGTCGGCTTCTGTGTGCATTTAAAGATTTGTGATCTTTCAAAGATTTTTCATTGTGATAACAATTTTAAGACAAAAAAGTCGGCTTTGTGCATTTAAAGATTTGTGTGCTTTTAAAGATTTTTCAAAGTGATCATGGTGTTCTACGTTTGTTGGAGAATTGGCTTAGTTTTTGTCCTTCAAATTATTTTCAAGTAATTATTAACATGTCGCAAGTGCCTATTCAGCTATCACACGAGGGCCTAGGAAATTATACGACTAACATATTAGACGACCGTAAAAAATGGAATTTAGACGATAATTTTTTGTGATTTTAGACAATAAAAAAGGGGCCAACAAAAATTTTTTCATTAGCAGGAAGATACACAAACAAAAAGAATATATGATCCCAGAACTGATCAAAAGTTTTATTGTAAGTTAATTATAAAACATTAAATCAAAAAAGTAACTACATCTTTGAAATGCATAATTTATACAGTTGTGACGTTATTAACCTGATTTGCGGTTGGACGACCAGTATTTACTCAACCAAAAATTAATTTAAGTTTGTAAACAATTTTCACGCAATTTGCATAAAAGTTATTGTCTAAATTCCACTATTTTCTGATCGTCTAATTTGCTAGTTGTCTAATTTCTAATATTAAATGTTTAATTAAGTAGTACCCATGACTTTTGCGCAAATATCTAGTAGCAAAATGGTTTTCAATGATTAAAGTTTTTTTCAGCAATTTAAAACAATTTTTATCCGACTTTCGAAGAAAGTAAGGAATATATATGCTCGAGGTGGTTTTTTTTATTCAGGCCAATTCTCAAAAAATTTTCCTTCGGGGGATCCATCCATAGATCTTCGTGGTCCCAGAAGAGGCGCGCTCATCACTAAACTATTGCACTGCTTCTACCTTTGACTAAAACACGAATAGTTAGAATATTTTCAATTATGATGAGGAGACTATTTTCAAGAGTAAAAGATCAAAATATGTGCTCACTAGTTTTTTCGAGTGAAACGGTTCTGGGGTACTTGATCGTTGGTAAGCTCTGTAGTTTTTGTATAACTTTCTTGGAAAATTTTCTCAGCTAAGATACGCTGGCTTACTTTTGCCAAACATCGCGCATTCAGAGTTTAACTCGAAGTTTTTCTTGTTCCAGCTTCTCTTATCATTCCACTTCTAATAGGGGTACTCTTGAAGTACTTCAAAGAGTCGTTTGCCCTCAAGTTTAAGAAGGTCGGCAAAGCCATCATCATCATCACTCTCCTGGCGACCACAGTCATTTTCGGGTTCCTCTATCCCAACATCTACTTCGTCGGCAAGAAGATCATCTTCTCTGGTCTATTAGTAGCACTAGCTGGATTCTTCTTCGGTTACAGGTAAAAAAAATATTTTCAATACAATAAATCATTAATGGTTATGGCAACTGCATAGCTCTCAAAAAGCAATCACATAAGTTCCGAAAATTTTTATTTGGCTCAAAATTTGACCAATCAAAATTCAACTGGAATGTTTTCGGGACTTATGGGACTGATTGTTTTCTTTGCGTGCTATGAAAATTGAGACTTATGGGAATTCACTGAATTATGGCAAAAGTTTGGAACTGGGGCGTCAAAATTTTAGATGGTAGGGTGCTGAGTATCGATGTTATACTCCAAGTTGCTGTGATATATTCTATTCCACTGTTTAATGCCGTTGGTTATAGTCTGAATGAGTTCTAAATTTTAAATTTTCATGCAAATCTTTTTGAGCTTAAGGTTAAAAAAAGCTATGATTTCACGCGCAGTATCAGCCGAGTTTGTCGACTGCCCGAGAAGCAGTGTCGTGCAGTGTGTTTCGAGACTGGTTTTCAAAATGTGGCAATCTCGTTCGCCGTCATTCAACTCGGATTCCCCGACAAGTCTGACGAGATGTTCGCATTCCCCCTGTGGTACGCAACAGGTCAGTACAACACATTTTGGACCAAGGGAACAATCCCCCCTATAAATCAAATTAGGGGGGAGATTGTTCACTTGGTTAAAAGTAGTATTTTTCAGCCTATCAGATTAGAGCATAGCACATGCAGGCCTTGCGGGATGAATTTGCCATTTACTTTTAAGGGGGTGGACTTTTCACGAGGTTTATCAAGGGGGGAGATTGTTCACATGGACCCACATTCTTTATACAACCCGCTATAAACAATAAGGACTGGTTGCTGTGCAAGTGGTGCAGAAGGTTCCGACCAGAATTATCTAAAACAAAAAGTGCATACCAACGCGCTGAATTTCAGATTGAAAAAATGTCTTGTCGAGTTTCATGGTCAGAATTTTGAAACCTGATTTCAGTAGTATCAATGACCTGATTTCAGTAGTATTTTGAAAAGCAACTATCATTTTTGTTGGTTTTCATTGGTTTGTGATTATGAAATTCTAGTCGATCGTATTTTTTTATATAGTAGATAAACAACAGCTATATATTGCAGCGAGAAAATTTGTGACACAAATCGAGACAATAACGAGTGTATCTGGCATAAAGCACATGTGAAAAACAGTGTAAAAGTTTTTCGCCAACTCATAGTTATTGTTCCGACTTTCGATACGAAAGTAATTGTTCCGACTTTTGCAACGAAAGTAACGGAATATTTCTGCTCGGGTGGGTTTTTTTCTTCCGACTAATTTCGACTTTTTAACTAGCCATTTTTCACGGAGTTTTTAAATATCATTCGAAAGGTGTTGTTGTCCTGAGCTCAAATTTGAAACCGTATTTTACCTGTGACCATTTTTCGTAAAGTTACGGAGGTTTAAAGATTGCCATTTTGGCCAATTTGGGACAATTAACGTGCGATATATTTCGCGCTTTTAACGCGTAAGCGGAGAGTTAATCCGTCTAATAAATCATTCCAAATTGGTTGAAAGAAGCTTATTTGCCATAATTGATTTGTTACAGGAGCAAAAACTATCCTTTTGTACTCTATATGGCGTGTGGGGGGATGATTTTCATAAAAAATTTCAAATTTTAGAGAAAAAAATGTAATTTTATTTTATTACATTAAATTTTTTAATGTTATTACTGCTCCATAAAACCTTAAAAGGCAGTCGAAACATTCAGGGCTTCGCCCTGATACGAGCAGTCTTGTTACTTTCCATTTCGTTTCGTTCAAATGATCAAATAAAGCACTGAAAGTTATTGCATTCTAGCGTTTTATTTGTCAAATACAGCACCACGGAAACATATTGAACACATGTATATATATTGTAAAATTGGTTGGTCTTGGTTGATTTCATGATCGCTTCGTAGGATTGAAAATTATGGTTTCAACTCGTTTCAGGAGTTGGGGTCTATTCGACTATATTTGTGTTTGCATTCCACGTGCATAAGAGAGTGACTGGACGGAGAGAGGGGAGGGACGATGACCATGAGGCCAGAGGTCGCCACAAGAAAGTCAACTCCCAGACAGTCCAACTGGTCAACCCAACTGGCTCGGACCCAGATGACCACGTGAATGAAGAAGAAGAGGTCAGAATAAATTTATTTTCAATTTCTCTGTTTTTTTGTTCTCGAGTAATCTCGAGAGGTGGGCAGGTGCTGTGGTCTAACTTCGTTTTTTTCGTGATTTCCAGTACCTCAAAAATACTCGTAGTTGATTGAGTTTGGTGTGATCTTCGAAACCCTTCAGACATAATTCGAATTCAAAAAAAGGATTTGAAATAATTTCGGTGAATGAGAACTTAAGCCTCCTCCCCTCTTGACCCGACTCTACTATTGTTTCCTTGTGAGAAGTGGATGGTCACTTGTTTCGGTGAATGAGAACTTAAGCCTCCTCCCCTCTTGACCCGACTCTACTATTGTTTCCTTGTGAGAAGTGGATGGTCACTTGTTTCGGTGAATGAGAACTTAAGCCTCCTCCCCTCTTGACCCGACTCTACTATTGTTTCCTTGTGAGAAGTGGATGGTCACTTGTTTCGGTGAATGAGAACTTAAGCCTCCTCCCCTCTTGACCCGACTCTACTATTGTTTCCTTGTGAGAAGTGGATGGTCACTTGTTTCGGTGAATGAGAACTTAAGCCTCCTCCCCTCTTGACCCGACTCTACTATTGTTTCCTTGTGAGAAGTGGATGGTCACTTGTTTCGGTGAATGAGAACTTAAGCCTCCTCCCCTCTTGACCCGACTCTACTATTGTTTCCTTGTGAGAAGTGGATGGTCACTTGTTTCGGTGAATGAGAACTTAAGCCTCCTCCCCTCTTGACCCGACTCTACTATTGTTTCCTTGTGAGAAGTGGATGGTCACTTGTTTCGGTGAATGAGAACTTAAGCCTCCTCCCCTCTTGACCCGACTCTACTATTGTTTCCTTGTGAGAAGTGGATGGTCACTTGTTTCGGTGAATGAGAACTTAAGCCTCCTCCCCTCTTGACCCGACTCTACTATTGTTTCCTTGTGAGAAGTGGATGGTCACTTGTTTCGGTGAATGAGAACTTAAGCCTCCTCCCCTCTTGACCCGACTCTACTATTGTTTCCTTGTGAGAAGTGGATGGTCACTTGTTTCGGTGAATGAGAACTTAAGCCTCCTCCCCTCTTGACCCGACTCTACTTTTGTTTCCTTGTGAGAAGTGGATGGTCATTTGTTTCGGTGAATGAGAACTTAAGCCTCCTCCCCTCTTGACCCGACTCTACTATTGTTTCCTTGTGAGAAGTGGATGGTCACTTGTTTCGGTTAAATGATTTGTCTTTGTGTTGTTTTTCGAATTTAGTTGTTCTTTTTTAACGGTTGATGTTTTTTTTAGAAAAAATCTTATTTTGCAAAATTATTTTTCCAAAGAAGGGCAAATTGTTTTCTTCAATAACAAAGGTAGAAGCAGGGGCGGATCAAGGATTTTCTCGAGGGGAGGGCGGATTTTCAAAAAAATTTCGAAAATATTGTCGACCTTTTTTTTTTAGGTCGACCGAATTGATTTTTTAAGCTCTCCCTAAGCACGGTTTAGTCGCTGTTTTGGCCAAATTTTTTGCGCCGCAGTCAAAATTTTGAAAAAACAGTCCAAAAAAGGCGTTTTTAGGCACTTTTTGAAAAATTTTGACCAAAAAATTGCGTTTTTTCGGCGCGCGCTCTCCCCTCAAATTTAGTCTATATTGGCGCCGAAGGCGCTTTTAGAAAAAATTTTGGGTCGGTCGGCCAAAAATTGATTTCTCAAAAAGTACCAAAGGGGGGACCCTTTGGGTCGGCAGGGGGTCGAATCCCTGAGGGAAGAAGGCGTCCGCCCCCCCCCCCCCACCCCCACCCCTAAATCCGCCCCTGGGTAGAAGGGAAGCAAAATTTCGTCAAACTTATTTCTCAAAAAATTATCTTTACACATAGTACGATGCAGTTTTTTCCGACCTATTTCGCAATTAAAAATGATCATTTGGCGGCACTTTGGTTATTGCCTCAAAAAAGTCCTTTTTGTTAAATTGGTCGTGTAAAAAAGTTATTGGTTTTTCTCGAAATCAAACACTGCCAGATCTGAGATTACGATTTCAATCAAAAGAAAACTTCGTGTAAATGTTTTCTGCATTAGAGATTGTGCCCTAATTTTAGTTAAAAAATTAGTTTTGGTCTTATGAAAAGGCCATTTTTGACAATTTCCCGTCTTAACTCAAAAATTTTGAGACTGTGGTTTGAATCCAAAAAACAGGTTATGGAGACTTCCCTACATAGCCGGCTACGCCCTAAATTTTGCAATGAAAAATAGTTATGGCATTATTAAAAGGCCTTTTTGACATTTTTTTCGCTGAATTTTTTTTCTTTTGTTTTTCTTTGTCTTTCATGAGCGAAGATACGAGGGCAAAACTGCGGATTAAATTGCAGGTCCAAAATGCAAATCCGTTAGTTTATTGCGCCCCGGCCGGTTGGAAGTGAACGGCCACTTGCGCCACGGCCACTGCCTCCTGGAAGTAAACGCCACGGCCGCTGACGTTTTCTGCGCCATGGCCGGCTGAAATTAAATTTAAAATTATGATTTTTTTGGTAGATCATTGGTAGATAGTGTTAACAAGTTCTCAAGCGAGCGTGGCTCAGATGCGAGGACGTGAGAATTTTAACCTGTAAGTCGAAGGTTCGACTCCGATTCCGGCACACAGTAAATAGCATGAAAAAAATTTTGGGTATTAATTTTGGCGACATAAAACGCTGGTCAAAATGGTGCCGCGCTTTTTTTTAACTGTTATTTATTCCGAACCCTCAGCGTAGTGAGGGAACGAACTATGGCATATGTTCTGTTTTTTGTTGCCAAACCTATGAGTTCTTAAGGGTCAAATGCGATAACACGTTAAAGAATTTCAGCCGTGATTCGAATTTTTCTAAAACAATTGTCTCAGTGTCAAGAAAAACAGGCCTTAATAATTCAATTATTATAATACTTGAAAGAGATTGAGCTTTTGTCAGCAAGCCAGTTAAATTGTTAAAAATTCTTGCTGATTTTCGTAAATTTTTTGTTCTTCCTTATATTCACTGAGTAAGAATGTTTTTCAGTCAGGAGAGGATCTAGGATTTTCTCGAGGAGGGGGCGGATTTTCGAAACTTTAAAAAAAAAATCGACTTTTTTCTAGGTCGTATAAATTGATTTTCAGAACAGTAAAAAGACCTTATTTTGACAAATTTGCGCCTTTAGAAAAATTTTAGGGTTGGTTGGCCTAAAATGAATGTCATTAGAATATACCAAAGGGGGGACTTTTTGTGCTCCAAAGTAAAAAAAAAGACAGAAAGGAAATCGGCGGACATTTAAAACTACGGATTTTCTTGAATTTCAAGTTAAATCCAATATTTTTTCAAAGCAAATATTATCATGAGCACAAGTTAAAAACATCAAAATAAGTTTACGGGAGCAATTTTGAGATCAAAAAGTTTTCAAAGGGAGGCGAGAACGAATCATCTCTTGACGACTCACAACATCGACATGAAGGCGAATCATCGGGGGGAGTTATAATACACGACATGCTCGAATACCACGACGAGGAACCGAACGGCCGAGAAGCAGTGGTCACTTTTTCCACGAACGAGGACTCGGCTGCCTTGATCACGAACAATAATGTGCACCACAGAAGCCCAACTAGATTTAGACCGAATGGAGAATCGAGTATAGTCAAGAAAATTGAGACGACTTTAAAGATAGATTTGAAAAGTCAGACTATGTAATTTGCTTTGAGTATGTCAACTTAGCAGTCAGAATTCATTTTTAGTGGAGTAAATAATTAGCTCAAAGCAGAAACCAAGTAAAATGATATTGCCCAACGTTCTTGCATAACTTAAAGTTTCAGCGATTTACGCAAGAATGAAGCTTTTTTTCAATTTTAATTTCTAAGTCAGATTTCCATTCCGGTTGTTTAAAAAAATTGTAAATCGAGCCAGCTGCAACCAAACAACAAAATTCAATTTTTATAGAAAAAGATTTTCAATTAAAAAAAATTTGTTCAATTTCAAAATCAAAAATTGAATACAAAAATATATTAAATTTACTTCGTTTCTGGCTAGAAAAACAGTGGCTATATTTATGGTTCAGTTCAATAATTTCAAAAAATCTAGTGGTGCATAACTAGTCTATTATTTTTTACCTGACGTCTCTTTTTAGTGAGTAATTTCCTTCTGAATAAAATAGTCTTCAGATAAATTTATTTTTTGCGCTATTTAAGATCTAGTAATGAAGAGCATGTGTTGTTTAGGGGTGGGAGAGTAGTTGAATGGGGCACCATAGATAATGAAATCAGAAATTTTTCTATAGCAAACAGCATTCCCAAAGTTTTTATTTCAAAACGTTTTGAAGCGACAAGTTTTGACGGCAATTTACTACGCGTACATTGCTGGTTGATTGCTTAGTTATCTAGTCTAAGTTATAAGTCTCACCTACGGTCTTCAAATTTCTAGACATTATGGTTATACTTTAAAAATTTAGTTAGAAAAGAGTATGAATTTATGTAATGGATAGTTAAAAATAACTATTTAAACAATTAATGAACAATTGTCTTTAGTACCAATAGAGATGGGGTCAATACCTAGTTTTTACTTTTAAACTAACAATTGAATTGCCTGTAATCCGCGTCTAGAATGCTGATTGATTCGTCCAACTATTGTTTTTCAGAGTATTGGGTCATCAGTTCGTCTAGATCAGTGTTACTGTTTTTTTATTTGGGAACTTATAAAAATTCTAAGATCGTATTTTAATAAATTTGTAAAAATAAAAAAAACAAAAGAAAGAAAGAAAATTTTCCCAGAAATTGTTAACTCATCAGAGCGAGTGGAAATGAGAGCGGGAATAAAAAATTATGAAGATTTTAGACAGGTCCAATCTTCAAAGTACAATGTCTAATTTTTATTTTCATAGGTTTTGTTTCATCGGATGTCTGTTTCATCCTCCGGTCTTTGAAAAACTTTCAGTAGTCTCTTTTTTGAAAATTTTTAGTTTCAAAAAGCTTTTTTTTCGTTCCGTATTTGATTTGCAGAAGTTCTATTTTTTTGTGTCTTTGCTAGGCTCCGAAAAGACTGGTTGCTTATCGCTTTAGTGTCTGCTTTTCAAGGCAAAACAGTTTAACCGGTGAGCCTGTATGGCGACACACTTTTTTGATATCCGACAACTTAGTCCGACAATATAAAGTGGAAAGAAGTCGCTCTAACCTTAAGTAAACAATTAAACCAATAGTCTTTTATGTCCGTGTAGTATATGCAATTTTACAACTCACCCCCTTTTTTAGACAAAAAGCTGCTCGATACTTATTTTTACATTGGTATCAAATTATGTTTTACATATCGTGAAAGAGGTTTAGGTTGAATATTTGAAAAAGGCATGACACCTAAAGCTGAAATCTAATAGTTAAAAAAAGAAGCGAACTAGTTTGAATCAATCATTTCTTTTCAATTGCTTTTAGAGCTTTTCCTTCACCCTTATTTACATTGATATCATAGCCGATTTGATCCAATTCTTACTCGCTGTCCTGATTCTGGTAGTACTCATCAACGTCGAATACAGGCTGATTTTGTGTTGCGAGTTGATAGATTGGGTTTTGCTCCTCAAAACTGCAGTGACACCATTCTAGCTTTTTCTTGTTCTGATTTTATTTGTGTGTTTTTAGACTGAGAGTTTACAATTCATAACCCGTTCAAACTCTGCTGTCAAACATCCTGTTTCTTTTTTCTGTTTATTACAGAAGTTGATTATGTGGAAATTTTGGGTCATACGCAAGTTAAGTATGGTTTATTTCTGTGTCCTACCCAAATCAAGCATTAGTATTCTTTGTCTTACACAAAAACCCCCCGCGATAAAAAGAAGAGAAGCGAAATTAACTTCTCAGTTTCAACCTGATCGTAACATAAATAACAAAGCATACAACTTTCACTTTGGGTTGATATTAACTATATGAAATAAAAAAGGAAAAGAACACTGTAAGAGTAATAAGGCGAGAAGAAACAATTTAAATTTTTGATTTGACAAAATTGTTGTCATAACTAGCATACTTTGTTTCAGTTTTGATAAGAAAGAGAGTTGAATTGGAATCAAAACAAAATCAAAAATTAAAAAAATAAAATTGAAGACCAATTAAAAATGGGTATCATGTTCAATGAGATAAGAGAAATACTTTCTCTTCGGTTTTAAGCCCGTTCACCAATCCATAATCTCAGTTTTAGTTAAGATATGTTGGTCCTCCTTTATATGATGTGCAATTTCACGAAAGCAATCATATTAATGATGCGGTCCAATTCTCAAAGTGTTGCTTCTGAAAGTCCGAAGTTTTTAAGGGTTTGAAGGCCTGCGTTTAGTGGATTCTAAACTATCGAATTGATAATTTGGCTTGATTTTTCAGGAGCGACTCACAGCATATAGCCACCAATAATCATTTGCGCTGGTTAAAAGAATATGGTTCCATGAATTTAAAAGTCTACGTAAAGCCACCTTTAAATGCTGGCATAAATCTCCGGCGGGTCAAGTCGAACAACTTTGTTTGCCCATTTATGATAATGAAAATTGGTAAAAACGGTACTCATTTTTGAGAAAGAAATAGATGATATCTTCTTTTGATGAAATGCTTCTAGTTTGCTTTTTGTAACTTGAAAATTGAAAAACTCATAATTGATGTCATCGGTCCCTACTTGGAACCTAAGAGGAATCCGATGGTGCTAATTAATAGAATATGTTTGAAACAACTTTACATTGGCTAGTTTTTTCATCGAGGGTTCCACTCTAATAGTTATCGTTTTTGTACGTAGGGTAGTTTTAAATTCCTTTAAGTGCAATGGTGAATTTTCAAGGATAACACCGCCTGAATACGAAATGATTATAGAATCGTAAAGCTAGTTTATTTCAAGCTCCTGGCCTTTTGTAATATATTTTGCAATTTTTTAAGTTCGAAAAAATAAGTCTCCGCTATTGGGTTCCGATCCTTCTATTTTTATTTTATTTTGAGGATGGTCCGTAATTGATGCGTACTTGACTGTTTTCGATTTCAGTAAGGAACTTATTCCGTCTCTACGCAATTTTGGCATATTCTTTTGAGTGTCATGCAGAACCGCCATTCACTGCAGTATACCAGGCGAATCAAATGTTCTTTCTGTTGTAAACAAAAGAATGTTTAATTCACCTGATTTTTTACAATGAATCTTTTTCTGTTTAAAAACTTTTCCTTTTCAGTCAAATTTATGCTTCTCGCAAGTGCTTGAAAAGAAAAAACAAACACAAGCACGCAAGAAAGTTCTTAATTAGCGACATCCAACAAAAAAAAGAACACTGGTATTCTTTTTTCATTAGGATTAAATTAAATTTACTGCTCAGTATACAAAAAGTTAGTCACAATAAAAAAGCAATAAGGTTTAAGCGTTATGAAAGCTTGAATAAAAAAAAATATTTGAAATTGTTTCAAAGTAGAAAAAACTGGTTTAATTTTAACTATTTTTTTCAAATGATTGCCCTATTGAACTATTGCTTATAAGTATTTTTGATTTTCTGAAATTTGTTAATAAGATAGAGATTGACTTTTCTTTATACTTACCATATTTACAAAACGAAATAATGCCTTTTTGTTTCGAGTACTTATCAATTCTAAATGATGTTCCCAATTTAAAAACTATGCCTGCTGGAGAAATTGAAACAACGCGGGATGATTTTGGTGCAATAGTTGTTTTTATCAAGAACTACATTTTGAAAAAAGCTTAGATATGGATAACTATTGCTTCTTATTTTACAAATAAGTACTGCTATATGGATTTTTTTAAAACTCTAACTAAGAACTTGCAAAATTTTATTGATTTAATACTTTGAAAAATAAAAGAAGCCGTACACAATACATTTAGAATGAATGCGTCCTTGGCTGAAATTCATGTTTTTATGTTTACGGGATAATCGTGTTAGTACCAAAAGTTGAAACAAAATTTGTATAACCTATAAGATTAAATTTTTCACCATTAACAGCACTGTGTTAGATCTAGATTTGTTCAGCTGTAGAAGCTGTATTTTACAATATTGTTAATAACTGTCAAAAGTAATAAGCAAATATGTTGCTCCAGTGTATAGTAAAAATTAAGTTTCAAGGTCGTTATTTCTATTTTGTATCCCACGGGATGTTGGTACAAGTTATTATGCAATTGTATTTTAGTTTCAGACGGAGACTGATCTAGTTTAAAATAACAAATTCACACTCATAATCGTTATAGTCTCCTGGAATGTAATCATCACTAAATTTGTGGATTTGTTAAGGTGAATGATAATCGTTATATCGAATGAAAAAAATTTTTCACTATTCGACCTTTCAGGCGATTGAAAATTTCATTGAAATTTGACGTAAGCCTGAGTTTGTGTTGGGGATTTATATCCTTGAAATGGTTGACTACTCTTGACCTACAGCTATAGTAATGAGAAGTTCTGTTTGCATTCTCTCTTATTTGAAGTTATGTGCTTTTTGCGCTTGTTGATCTTTATATTTAAAGCAATGGCTTCTCGTATAGCCTGAAATTCAACACATTTGCAAAACATTCTTTGTTTCTATGTTCATACGGATTATAAACTGCGTTTAATTTATGATCGGGTTATTCCTGTTAACTTTTTAAGTTGATTTTCATTCCCTCTATTTCGTAAATATTAGCTACGCTACTGGGTGCTGATCCAGCAAAATCACAACTTTTTGCAAAACTCAAGTCTTTTGTAGCTATGTGATTTTTTTAATTGTTGCCTAGTTGCGGGTGGATTCTCAATTAGGAACTGATGTGCCTTTTAAAGAGGGCTTGGCGGGTTTAAGCATCCCACAAAAAATTCCACTTTCTTTGCTGTTCTTTGATAATCTTTATTAAAAAATGGATTAGGCCATCCACA